TAAAAATTGAGATCACTCTAATTCTTCTTCACAGCTGGAATATAAGGACAAGATTTGTGCTTAACTTTTTGCAAACGTAGGCGTAGCGCAAATTTTCAACTCCATTTTTCATCCCTCTTTTTTAATATTGGCTGCCTTCAATAAAGTGGATATGATATTCTTACTCTGCGTATACAGAAGCATAATACGTATTTGGAAAATTTGATGAGATAAAATTTTGTGATGATTATACATTTTCTCTCACTCTAGCTCTAGTTTCGTTAAATCCAGCCTAGCATTGGTGACTAGAATCGGACGAATTCCAAAGCTTGATAGATCATTTTCTAAAAAACCGTCTCGAGGCATTTATCAATACCAAAGCTGTTATTTTATATTTGGTTATTCTCCTATTCTATGACATTTCTGATCACATAATTTCAATAAAACAAGTAAGTGAAGGGATGAATAGGTGGATGGATTAGATGCTACAGGACTCTAGATACCTAACCCTCATGATCAAATATAAATGACATCACAAATCGCTTGTCGCTTACATGTTTCTCATACTCCATTCCTTTCCTTTAAAAAATGTCGATGAAGACGACTTAAGAGGGCAAGTAATCTTTATTTCAAAGATCAATCCCGGATTTTGGGAAAACTTCTTTCAACAAACTGAATGATTTTAGGAATGTAAATTTTGCTCTAGAACATACCCCGCAAATAATCGGGAAAAATTAATGAGCAAGGCTATTTAAATTAATAGATATTTTTCGTGTGCGTGATCACACAATGTGGATCGTTGTGGAAAATATATGCGAAAAAGAACCAATGGAAGCATTTGCTTCACACGCTATGAGGTCTTTGTAAAGAGAATTACTAAGGAAGGCTAAAATAACAGATTTGTTCCATATCTACGGGTAGGCGGCAAATATTTTCACGCATTCTTTAGTTTTAAATAAGGTTATTTTAGTATGCGTGCAACGAATATTACAACCATGCTTTTGCATGTTAGACATGCAGTAATGTTAGGAAGATGACCTTTCAGCTGGAGAACGAGTCATCGCACTTTCAGATGTTGTTACGCTGCGTTTAATGTGAAATGAATCACTCGACTTCAGCTAATGGAATATTAAAGGGCTCAGGGAATTTCCATATCAAAATTAGTTGTTTGAACACTATAACACATTAGAAAAAAGTCAATAGCTGAATGGCGACAGCTCCCCATCCTCCTTAATAGCGGCTCTTCTGCTTGCTTATTTTATTTCCGACCATTTTGTTGAGCCCACAGTTCTTTTGGTTGGCTTTGGCTTTATTCCGTAAGCATATCTTTGAATGGCATTCATGCAGTTTTGGTCACTCCAATCCACTGGTTGAATTATAAGGGTTGCCGAGATTCTTTGATTGAACATGTAAGTTCCTC